AAAAAAAAAAGACTGTGTGGGGCAGATAAAGTCCCAACTGAATAGATTTCATCGTGTCTAGATGGGTCTGGTAAAAAGAGACAGCGATAGGATTCTTATGATTTGATAGTGAGTAATTGTTATCATGACTGTGACCTTCACAACTGTAAAGGTAGAAGTTTTGTAACAAAAACGGGGGAGTAGTTAATCTTACAGTCCAGAAACAGAGGACCCTAGGACCAAGAAAGAAGAGCACAAGCGAAATGTAGGACCCTATCCACAAAAGCAGCGAACCAGAGATAGAGGCAGAGCTGGGGACATGGAGAGAAGGAGCAGCTGAGGACTTCATGTGAAGAGAGGCACTAAGAGTTGGCGGCCAGGAGACAGGCGTGCAGAATGCTCCCTTTGGTGGTTTAAATTATTATGCATGCCTGAGTGTTTTAAAAAAAAGAGCTAAAATGAACAAAGAGAAATATTGTTAACTGATGGAACATGGAGGGGATTATAATCATTGTAATGTAACAAAGTATATAACTTGTTGAATGTAAAACTGATGATCTGCCCTGTACACTTTCACTCAATTCACAATAAAAACTTTAAAATAAATAAAATAGGTTCCCAAAAGGACTGTGCATACATAATGAACTGACTGTTACTGCATGCAGTCCTGGTGTAGTGCTGTAGGGTAATCCCTGTACCTCAAGGTGGGTTTGACCCACAGGCTTGGAGGTTCAAACTCACCAGTCGCTCCTTGGTAACCCTATATGGGGTCACTATGAATCAGAGCAGACTCAATAGCACTTAATAACACTCCTGGTATGCTGCTATAAGACAGGACAACCACAGGACGGCTGCTTAAGCTCACCAGCCACTCCTTGGGAACCTTACATTGACTGCAGTCGCTCTTCAGAAACCCTGTACAGTCACTATAACTTGAGGGCATTAACATCACCTTGAAAGAGGAGTTCTGGTGGTACCGTGGGTTAAATGTTCAGCTGCTAACAGAAAGGTCAGAGGTTCGAACTCACCAGTTGTTTGCTGTGTGAGAAAGCTATGGTAGTGAGTTTCTGTAAAGATTTACAACCCTAGAAACCCTATGTGGACACAGTTATATCTGTCCTATGGGGTTGCTACTCGATGACGCCCATTTGGTATTGGCTTGGATCTTGAAAGACCCTTTTTTTAAGCTTGAAGAAAAACCATTTTATTTACAAACAAGCCAAAACATTGAGAAAAGAATCCATTAGTCCTTGCCTAAGTCTGCTATGTTTGTTGATGCTCTACAATGCTTTTCAGGTACTTGGCTTAGTCCCGTCTGGTGCCCTTCTCATTTGGGCATGTGAGAAGATGCACTTGTATAGGTAATTCCAACAACAGAAACCCGTGACTCTAAGCTCCTACTTCACTAGATCAATGCCTTCAACTCTTCAACTTGGATCCAAAAACAATTTTTTTTACTTACGAAACTGGATCTAAAGCTGCTGTTTCTCAGCATTACTGCTGATGGAGAAACAAAGTAAGAAAACACCACACGCACAAGTAAGAACACAACCCAGAATATACGTGAAGTATAGCCTCCTGTTACTTTTATATCCCCAGGTAAAAAGAAACGAACTCACAGTTCCAAATTCCAAGTGGTATGTTTTATCAGACACCAAAAGTTCACTTTTGTACACTAAACTAGAGCATCCACTTTAGCATCATTTCTTAGAAGCAGGGGGGCTGAGCAAAGTTCCCTACAGACAACATTCTAAGGTCCCTAGATAACTGTATATTGCTTAGTGGTGGTATTCAATGCTGTCTGTCTCCTCATTCAAACCACACAATAGCAGAGGGCCTGTCCTTACACCAGTGAGAACAGAACCTGTACCTATGCATGAGAAACACTACCAGAAAGCTTTGGGGTTATAACACATCCAGTTTGCTTAGCTCTAAACAAAACCAGGACACTGAATAACTACCATGGCTTTGGCTTCCAGAAGAACTGTCTTCAGTGGCTTGGATGGTGGTTACACTGACATTCACAGAGTTGACGTTGGATGTCCGAGAAGGCTGAGCTGGTGTTCTGACCCTATCTTTTCTGATTTCTACCTTCCCGGAAGGCTCCTTCTGTGAACTGTTAAGAAAATCAAATAGCAGCTCATCATCAGGCTCTGACTTTTTCCTTCGGACAAACTGGGACGAAGGTTTGGGAAGGGAAGTACTTTCAACAGGATAGGAGGCCTCCACTGGCATCCGAGAGCCTGCTTTCACGTTGGCAGTGCCAGCTAAGAGGGTGGCCTGGTGAGTTCGAATGTTTTCGGCAGCTAAGGAAATGGAAGTTGCTTTAGATCCAGGTTGGTAAGCCAACTGCGTGTCTTGCTGGCCAAACTCTGGATAGTCAGTACTTTTGTCGTATATGATGTGGCTCGTGTTTTCTTTCCTATTAAGAGCTGTTGCTGCTCCCTGATCAACTCGGTTTAAAAGGTCTTCTGCCTTCCCAGCAAGATCAGCAAACCAAGACATGATGGTGGCAGAGGCTGCTACTGGTGAACCTGTAAAAAAAAAAAAGGACATCCAGACAGTCAAGTGTGGCCCAACAGCGGAACACTGCAGTTAAGAACCAGCTTCTGGAGTCACGCAATCCTGGATTGAGATCCTAACCCTGTCCCTTTCAAGCTATCTAACCCAGAGCAAACTACTCAACTGAAACAGAGAAACCTTAACTAGAAAATGGGTTTTATGGGTTTTATCTTAGAGGGTTTTTTTTTTTAACTGTTTTATTATGAATTATGTGATACTTTATATGAGGGAACATTAGCTTTACATTCATCCTATCGTATTATCGTTACATTGCCATGGTTACAATCCCCTGTATGCATCATCAACTAACCAAAGGGTACACCCTGCAAGCCTGCCCTCTGGTTGTCAGCACAGAGCCCCTTTCCCTCCCTGGGTCTAGAGTTCCCAGCTACTCCATCTCTCCACACCATCGTCTCTGCCTCCATCTCTGACGTCACTGATTCTCTGGGTAAGGTCCCGCACTCTGCTCTTCTAGAGGATTGTTTTTAAGGTGAACTACAAATTGAAGAAGAATGGTGTTGCATTCATTGTCAAAAAGAGCATATCCAGATCAGTCACGAAGTACAACGCTGTCTGTGATAGGCTAATACCCATGTGCCTACATGGAAGCCCAGTTAATGCCACTATTATTCAAGTTTACGCACCAACCAAAAAAGCCAGTAAGGATGAAATAGAAGAATTCTATCAACTTCTTTAATCTGAAATTAATCAAACATGCAATCAAGATGTATTGATCATTACTGGTGATTGGAATACAAAGGTTGGAAGCAAAAAGGAAGGATCAGTAGTCGGAAAATATAGCCTTGGAGATAGAAATGATGCTGGAGAATGCACGATAGAATTCTGCAAAACCAATGGTTTGTTCATTTCAAATACCTTCTTTACACAGCATAAAAGACGACTATACACATGGACTTCACAGATGGAATACACAGAAATCAAATTGACTACATCTGTGGAAAGAGATAATGGAAAAGCTCCATATCATCAGTCAAAACAAGGCCAAGGGCAGACTGGGAACACACCATCAATTACTCACATGCAAATTCAAACTGAAGCTGAAGAAAATGAAAACAAGTCCATGAGAGCCAAAATATGACCTCGAATAGATCCCACCTGAATTTAGAGATCATCTGAAGAACAGATTTGATACATTAAACACTAAAGACCGAAGACCAGAAGAGTTGTGGAATGACATCAAGAACATCATACAGGTAGAAAGCAAAAAGCCATTAAATAGACTAAAAAGAAGGAAAAGGTCAAAATGAATGTCAGAAGAGACA